AGGTGATCCTCTCCAAATATACATTTGGCATTTGGTATTTCTAGATATTTCTTAGATGTTCTGAACCATCTCTTTTTTGAGAGTTCTCCAGTCCTCCAACTGCAATCATAAAAGGGTTTTATTGGTCAGGATAGCTACCAATCATGCTTTGCCAATAGTACAATGTCCTTTATATGGATGCCATGGAATTTACATGCAGATGATTTCTGGGGAGCACTGGGGCAGGGGACAGCACTTGCCCCCTCGCTCAGAAGCTCCCTGACCAAAATAAGCAGGTTGTTTGGCTTTTGCAGGATTCAGGGCTTGGGGCCAAGAATAAAATCCTTCTTATTTTATAAGGGAAACTTGAAAGAGAACACCATGTATGATGGCGGTGGTGGTCATGGGAAGGGGTTGAAGGGGACTATGTAGGAAGCAGACATCAGACTAGGTTTCATTAGCTGCACCCTGGCAATAGGCAGCTTAGGGATCTTTACTCCAAATATTTTCGCATTATCTAAGCCTCACAGGAGAGAAAAAAATGTCATATAAGAGAGGAAGCAGGGGAAAGGGGGTGGTGAATAGTTGGACAAGTATATCCATCCTGGAATGGAAAAAAATTGCTAACTATATTCTCCACCCCAAACCAGGCATCTTCAATAATGAGGACAGCCCTGAGATGCCAAGCTCAGACAAGATTTGGCAGGCTGGCTTGGGCACAATGAGCCCTAATGAGCACTTCCAGATTTAGCACATTTCTCTCAAGCCCTAGGATGACCCAACTGACATGAATTCCTCTTCTCTTCTCAGGAAGCTCTGCAGATGGACAGCAAAGAGGAGAAGATGGTTTAGTTTCTTCTTTGGATCTCTAGAAGAAATCTGAGAAGAAGCAGGATTCAGTCTAACCCCAATCCCCTGACCTCTGACCCTGAGAACACACCTAATGTGATCTGCTGAGCTTTCTGGTCCCCATTAGGTCTTAAAGTATTCAAAGAAAGGGTCAGAGCCTTTTTTATGCCTCATTCCCTGAGGAACCAATTGTCCAAAGTCCCTTCTACTTCCTTCCTGGAAGTTATTTTTTTTCTACTACTGGTCTAATGGCAGAGAAGGACACTGAAAGCAGAGGAATGGATGAAACTTCTGATTGATGTCTGTGAGCTCAGGGGATTTGTCAGTTGATTTCTCAGTTTGCCTGAGGAACTGAACAAAGCCTTCCTGCCTCTTGGACCCTGATCATGAGTGGAAACTGGTCTTCTCTGAGTAAGATAACCATTGTCCAGTTATGAAAAGCTTAGTGTAGGGCTAAGGTAAATGCCTTTCAGTGGATCAGGTAAATTGCTAGGATGCCAGACCATTTGGGGGATGGGACTTCTGGGTATTAATGGCATCCAATATGATGTTTTCCAAGGGGTAGAGTTGGAAAGAAGTATGATTGTTGTTATTCTTCTCACTTCTGAAAAAGTACAGGTTTCCCTATAAGCCATAGAGCAAATGTTCACACACCCCTGGTTGTCTGTCTCACAGCAGAGCATCTCAAATATCGAAGAGGCTTCTACAGGGGAAAGGTTTTGGGAAACTCAGAGAAGGGAGCTAGACAAAAGGTATATGCTGAACTATGGGGCCCCAGAGTTATTGCAAAGGAAACTCTTTCTAAGGGCAGAGGCAATGTCAAAGATTGCTCATTGAAAGAGGATCAGAATGAAGCCTGGAAGGGAATGTTAGTTATCTCAAGTTTTTGCTTGAAGAAACTTTAGGATAATTGTTTTCTACTTCCTGAGAAGGCCAAGAACACCAACTGGCCAGTTGGGGTAGTTTGCATCCAACAGGAAGGATTAGCCAACATCTATCCAATATAAGAGATTCATTTCCATGATCCTAGACCCATGAGTTTAGTTCTGAAAGGGTACAAATTTTGGGGGTGGGATTTCTAGGAGTTATTGATGATGACATCATTCAGCCCTCCCACCAACTAACTTCTGACCCTTTCAAAGTGATGGCTTCCTCATGAGATAGCTAGGTATATGCCTAAATCCTGTGTCCCTTTCCTATCCCCATCCCCAGTAATCTAACTTTGTTTAAAAGAAGACAAAATGAATTAGGGATTCATGGGACACACATCGTGGAGGTGTGACTAGGGTGGCCATCCAGCCAGCATTTGACAAGTGTGACTGATATTATATCACAGAGGCTGATTGCTAGTTACTGATGCCTCTGATTATGGCTAGTTTTTGTTTGTTTGTTATGATGTTGGTAACCGTAAGTGTGACCCTTACACTCATATGGGGCAGTCCCGACTCTTCCAGCAAAAGCCAAACCAAACCATCAAGCCAGACAAAATGGGACAGTGAGCAACTGCTGTCATCTCTGATCAAAGCCCCCTCCCCTAGGCCACTTCTCCCTCCCCTCGGGGCCCAGTGAAGGAGCTGTATCAGATCTCAATGAGGCTGGCCAGGCGAAGGCAGAGGGGAGCGTCAACAGGTACAGCGCTGCGCTGAATCTCATTCCCATCCAGTCTCAGCACTTGGAGCTTGGAGAAGTTCATGACATCAACCACAGTGCAGAAGCTACTGATGGAGAACTCTGTGGGGAGAAGAGGTAGGTGAAGACAACAGTCCCAGTTAGAGACCTGGACACGTTCTGAATATCTCAGACCCACCGCCCTCTCTCAACAAGTCCAAGAGTAGCAGGGAGACTCTCTGTGGCTGGCTGGGACAGTGCCTCTAAGTAGAATATCCAGGGATGGGCACCATGAATCACAGGACGTAGTTGATATTGGAGATCAAAGGGACCTTAAAAATTATCCACCTCTGTTACAAAGAAAGAAACCAAGAGTCACAAAGGTGAGGTGAGTTGACCAATGTCACATAGTTATTAAGGGTCAGAACCAAATTTTCATATATATATATATATATATATATATATATACACATATATGTGTGTGTATATATATATATATATTTTGCTTTTTGGTGAAGCAATCAGGGTTAAGTGACTTGACCAGGGTCACACAGCTAGCAAGTGTCAAGTGTCTGAGGTCAGATTTGAGCTCAGGTTTTCCTGACTCCAAGGCCAGAGCTCTATCCACTGTGCCACCTAGCTATCCCTCGAATTTGTATTCTTAAAGAACAGGTTTAATCATGTCATTCCCCTGCTCAAAAAGGTCTAGAGGCTTCCTCTGGCCTCTAGGATAAAATACTCCTTCATGTGACATTTAAAATCCTATGCAATCTGGCTGAAGCCTACTATTCCGGCTTGTTACACATTATTCCTCTTTATACACTTTATTTTCCAGCAAAACACTCTAGATTTCTCAGATCCTATATTCCATCCCTGTGTCTTTGCACAGGCTGCCCTTCATTCCATTCCATGCCTGTCGTAGAATGACTAACTTCCTTACAATCTCACCTTGTCCAACTTCCTACTGAGGCCTTCTCTGATTCATGCTGTTGCTATGCCCTTCCCCCAGTTCCTTGGTTATTTTACTTTGTGTATATTTTATATCTTCCATGTGTAAGAGTTGCTTCCCCCAAGTTGAATGCAAGTTTCTTGAGGGCAAAAGCTATTTGTCTTTTTAGTGCCTAGCACATAGTAAGTGCTTACTGAATGCTTACTGAATGAATGAACCAGGACTAGAGCCTGGGACCACTTAGACTTCAAGGCTAAGGCACTATTCACCATAACTATAACTTTTTTAAAAAAAATATGGAATGCTTTATGAATTTGTATGTCATTCTTATGCAGGGGCCATACTAGTCTTTTCTGTATTTTTCTAGTGTTAGCATATGCACCTCCAAAGTCATCACTATGACCATTACTTTTAATCTGGGGGATTAATGTGCACTGACTGAAATCAGTAGGGTGTAAAGTTAGGGGCAAGATGGAGGTGGAACTCCGAGGTTTATTATACTCCCAGTATGTTCTTCTAGCTTCTGAAAAATAAACACATCCTCTGATGTTGCAGACCTGAGCTCCATGGTCTGTAGGCCGTGAGTTAGGAACATACAGACCTCATAGTCCCAGAGATTCTGGTGAGCCAGGAGTAGCATCTTCTCTTATCTGTCATCAGCATGGAACAGAGAGAGGGCAGCAAAACAGCAGCTTGGAGGAAAAGCTTGCGCATGAGAAACTCTGGTTTTTAGCTTCTGGATAGGGAGGGGCTCCCTAGGGGAACTGCAGTGAGCAAGGGGGAACGTGGAGGGATTCAGATCGCAAATCCCTCTTGTCATTTTGCAGATACAGAAAGTGGCAGGAAATCAGAGAAAGGGAGATTGAGTCTAGAGACAAGTGCCTCTAATCATTAGAGCTTGGGGGGTATATAAAGTGTATGCTATCTTTCCCAGTCTGTGCTCTGCCAAAGGAGAGAACAGAGAGTCTTTCATGTGAAAGAGTGAGACTTGAAAGCTTGAAAATCATAGACCACTCAGGGTGTGAAGGACCTCAAGGGTCAAAGAAAGAATTCTTTTGCCTCTTGCAGATTTAAAAGCTGTTTTTCCCTTTCCCTTTTCTTTACAATTTCTAATGATTTGTATCCTTAGTGCTTAGGACAGTGTCTGGCACACAGTAGGTGCTTAATAAATGCTTGTTGATTGATTTGAGTGAAGAAGGTTCTTAAAGCTCCCTTAGGAACTAAAGATTCCAGGATTCAACTGAATAAACATTCATTAAGGACCTATGATTTTCTAGGCACTATGCTAAAGGCTAGGAATACAAATAAGAAAAAGAGATGGTGCCTGCCCTCAAGGAGCTTACCATCTAACGGAGAAAGATTGAATGGTGTAGAAGATTCCTTAGAGATTATTCTAGTCTCTAATTTTACAGATGAGGAAAGTGAGGCCTAGCAAAGTCAAGAAATTCTCCCAAGGTCACAGAGTTAGTTAGTGACAGGGCAAGGACTAGAATGAAGGCCTTCTGCTTATGAGTCCAATGTATTTTCTGTTATACCATATGGCCTGCCCTAATTCCAAATTTATTCAGTCCCAACAACAAGCCAATTCTGTAGTCATTTTCTATATAGTTTGGTC